AAAGTCTAGTATATTCGGTGCATTTTTTTCACAGCTATTGTTATGCTGATTCCCTGGAACCGTGGTCCAGTGGATAAATCGTTGTCGTTCAAGATACTGAGTCAAGCTCGTCTGAGGAGAGTTAGCACTTGGATGGGTGACTTAAACATCGATTTTTAACCTGAACTATTTGAATTTTTCTACTATTCGATTTTTAACCTGAATTGTTCGAATTTTCTGGTTATTCGATTTTTAACCTGAACTATTCGAATTTGAAATTTTTAATTCCTATTTTTATTTGCGCGTTTGATACTTTTTCCATTCAATCTTTTTCGTTCTCGCCGTTCCATTCTTTCTCGGTCCGCGGACTCGCATAATCGTCAGCGGTCATTCACATGAGAGTAAAACAACATGGCGGACGAACCATTTTCTATGCCAAATGAAGAAATTGCTCTATTTGCAAGTAATAATGACGATGTTTTCGTGTGGAATGCAGAAGATGTTTACACTCTTAGAACAAAGTACCGTATTATTGGTTCATTAGTTGGTTCCTTGCCTAGAAGACCTAAACAAAACGTGTTCCTGTCGCTTCCCTTGTTGTTGTCGAAGGAGGAGACGACTTTACTCTTACAGAAAAAGTTCGCCAGATTCGTAAAGAATGAAACTAAGCCCTTATTACCCTCACAGAACGAGGTAGAAGAGTTTAAAATGGCTAGAGAGGAAAGCATTAGTGGGCAAGTTAAACTCTTGCTGGGGGAAAACGAAGAAAGAGAAAGGGAGTTCGCAGACAACATCGAAGCTGGCAGAAGAAAGAAAAAGAAAAGACAACGAAAAGGACAACGAGGAAAAGAGGACGATAATCCTAAACCATCTAAAATTACCAAAAGAGAGGATGAGTATCAAAATTTGGATGATGATATCTCTCTTTTAACTGAGAAAATGAGAAGTGAAAGGAATAATGAAAAAATGGGAAAATGTTTTGTTACAGATATAAATGAAACAGGAAATATGAAAAAAGTTATTCCAGGCACTTCAATAAAAAACGATTTGACCAATGATGATGATTATGATGATGTGGAAATGCCCATGAAGGAAAAAGAGAGTGATTCAAGTCTGTCAGAAAAACCTGGGACTTTTGAGGTAGATACTTCGCAAATAGAACAAGCATGCATGATTCACATTCCAACAAGAATGCCAAAAAACAAAACCAAGGATTTGGTTTCTCAAGAATGGAACTACCCAGGAACAGAAATAGAAAAATTGAAATACCAAGTATTCCTGGATTTATGGGAAAAAGGATTCTATATTACACCAGGGTCAAAATTTGGGGGAGAATTCTTGGCCTATCCAGGAGATCCCATCAAGTTTCATTCCTTTTATGTTGTGCTAGTGGTTCCGTGGACTAAGAAAATAGGAATGTTGGAATTGATATCTATTGGACGATTGGCAGCTACTGTTAAAAAGACTGCAGTTCTTGGTACTGTTAGTGAGAAGGGTGAAGTTGTGTATTCATCAATCAAATGGAGTGGTATTAGCTAGTCCATGTATAACTCTGATAATGGATATGGTTTTTATCACCATTGTTCTCCAATATCATTACCATCGTAATTGTGGATCAATATAATTATCAACATCATCAGGCATCAGCATCATTATTATGTTCATCATCCTCATTGGGCATCATCATTATCATTGTTTATCATCATCATTGGTCATCATCATCATTTTTTTATTATTTAAACATATTGACTCTGTGTTCTCTCCAAGAGCTAAGCTCATCTTGGGAGATTGCAAAATCATCATCATTGGGCATCATCATTGATCATCATAATCATCATTGGTCATCATCACCATTGGGCATCAACATCATTAGGCATGATTCCCAATGTTGATAGTGACCTATGATGATGATGATGCCCAAAAATATTGATGAAGCCAAATTGGGTAATCATCATCATCATTGGGCATCATCATTATTATTGAGCATCAACATAATCATGTTGACTTTATAGCCATACTTTTGCCTTTGCCATAGTTCTTCTTACCATGATTGGAAAACATAAATCTGATTGGTTGAATTAAGAGAAAGAAATGTGAAACCAATTGATTATCACACATTAATACTGTGGAATATTTATTGAACATCAACTTTAATTTCATAATATTATATTTGTGCCTCTGTAGCAAAACTATGATAGAAATATAAATGGTTTTCTTTGGTTATTACTGTATTACTATTTTTCGTTCTTCATTCTGTCGAACTTCCATCTGTCTGACTAGTTTCTTTCCGTTTCTCATTTCCCATTAATATATGCTCAACCTAAAAGAATACAAACATACCAAATAACTACATTAGGCAACTGTACATACAGGGCTTAAAGTTCTTGCTGTGGTGTGTGTAGTCATAAATCACTTGGGGATTGTGAGAACACTTGAGAAATGTGGAGAAGCACTCTGCAATGCATCCTGCTTCTCCTAACACTTCTCTCATGTTCTGTCAATGCCCATATGCTTTATAACTACATACAGCATGAGCTCATGTTTTCTATTTCTAATAGTACACTATTAATATTCTGGCAGCTGAGCACTGACTGATCGATTGTGTCCAACAAATCATGACCATGGGTGATGGATTGACACTGAGCTGTTATGAGAGCTAATTTATTATAAACGTGATATGTTCTAATAATTTTATTATCATCCCTTACCTCATCATGCTTGCCTCCAAATAATTCCATGTAGATAYGAATAAATGTTTCAGGTAGTAGAACTTTGGTGATATAATCAAGGTACTGTTCGAAAATATCAAAAATAGTTTTTCAAAAAATGATTCTTCAAATGTACAAAAAAAGTTAAGAGTAAAAAAACAGTACACTGAATACCTTGTTGTGTCGTGAACAGAATATTGACATTAATTCCTTCATTATTGCTTCCTGCTGTTCTTCAGAATACAAACCAAAACGCACTTGGAAAGCGAGGTCCCCTGTTGAAGATTTTGATGCTCACAGTTTATAGTGTAATCAATGATTATATAATTTTTTTTTTTTTTGATGCAGAAAAATTATGAAAGATGGTATATCCTGTTCTGTTACTAACCTTTACTTCTACCTCCTCTTTTATAATCTTCATGTCTGCGGCAATATTCCTGACATTTTGGATATTAAAAATACAAGTTTTCAAGCAAAGTGTTGGTAGGTTTTTTAAACACCCCTTAGACCCATCCAAGAGCTCACTTACCTTTCCCATGAAGATACGCTTGAGTTTCTTTTCCAGCTTTTGAAGCAGAAAGTTGATGTGGTTAATTCCAAGGTCAGATATCCTCCTTGGAAAAAAACCAGTTTATTGAGAAAGTCTACACACCCATCCCCTACACACTCACACACACTCCCCTAAGCTAACAGATAATTAATGATTCGAAATCCTTATTTCACTTGGCAGATATCCTCCTTGGAAAAAAACACAGAGTCTATTGAGAAAATCTAATCACCCATTCCCTACACACTCGCACACACTCCCCTAATCTAACAGATAATGAATGATTCGAAATCCTTATTTCACTTGGCAGATATCCTCCTTGGGAAAAAAACACAGAGTTTATTGAGAAAATCTACACACTGACCCATCCCCTACACACTCAACTCACTCCCCTAATCTAACAGATAATGAATGACTCGAAATCCTTATTTCACTTGGCAGATATCCTCCTTGGGGAAAAAACACAGAGTTTATTGAGAAAATCTACACACTGACCCATCCCCTACACACTCAACTCACTCCCCTAATCTAACAGATAATGAATGACTCGGAATCCTTATTTCACTTGGCAGATATCCTCCTTGGGGAAAAAACACAGAGTTTATTGAGAAAATCTACACACTGACCCATCCCCTACACACTCACACTCACTCCCCTAATCTAACAGATAATGAATGACTTGGAATCCTTATTTCACTTGGCAATTTAAATAATTCAATAATTCATACTTGACGTTATCAAAGCTTGGAACAGCATCATCAATCGTAATACTTTCATATTGTTTTCCTTCCTCAACTTTATCTTCCACCACAACTTGTTCGTGTTCCTGATTTGAATGCTTCTTCTCATATTCATTCAACGTCTTCGAGTTTCCTGCACATTCTTTGTCAGGAAATCTAGATTCCTTCATAGCCACTGAACAACTGGGAGCTGCTTCACTGACTTTAGGACTGTCAACAACCTCATCTTCGTTAGTCATCATGGTATTAATTTTTCTTTCGCTTTTCTCTAAATCGTTCGGATTTTTATCTTTGGTTTGTTTATCTGTAAGTTTCATTCTCTTTTTTCTACTTAGAGGCTTTCTTGTAACAAAGTMATTTTGATTGCAATCATTATTTTTTGCATGCTGGTCATCAGTTCCTGTGTCAGATCCTGTACATGTGTCCTCATTCAAACTAGCTTCCTGTCTGGATCTTTTGCGTGTACATTCCACATTATTCACTACAGAACTATCTCTAGATTCCTTTTCTTGGTCAGTTGATTTACATGTTGTATTATTTAAAGTAAAAGATGGCAGTTTTAAGTTGTCTTGTTCCTGGTCGTTATTGCCAGTGACATCACTGTCAATGTCAGCACTGCTCAAGCCCTTCATCTTTTGAATCCTATCATTAAATAATAAAAACCTATTAGGTATTTAAGCCAAGAAAACTATGTTACAAGAAGTTTATTGCAGTCTGTGGTTCCTCTTTGAGCAGAAACCTTCAGGACCTTGCCTGGTGTTTTACAATTAATATATTTGTAGGGAAGAAAATGTTGGGACTGTAAAAAACCCCATTTAATGAAGGGTGTCTGCTTAATAAAAGTATCTGTATATAGAAGAGATAACTAGCTAAAAAAACTAGTGTGAGCTGATAAAAGGGTAAATTATACACCGACGAAGGACTAGTGTTGGAAATGTCAGTTTTTTCATCTTTTCAGGGTGCATAATTTACCCTTTTATCATTACTGTATCTGTATATAGTTTAATACACATGAATTATTTTTAGATGTAATTGACATTTGGATAGATATTTAAGGTATGCATAATTAAGTTATGAAAGCCATACATTATACCCTTCAATAACCCAAGCTTTTTGAAACTTTTTATCAAAATCATTAACTCACATGCTTCGTAGATTAGCTTGTTTTTTGACAGCAGATAAAGTAAGAGTGGCATCTTTGTCTTTAGCAAAGTATTTGCTCTTTTCCTTTGTTGCTGCTTTTGTCTCTTGTTTAGCAGTCTTAGGAGCAGGAACTACCTTATTCTAGATGAAGAGGCAAAATTTAATTACAAACTTACATGATGGGTATCCTGTGTCATTTTAACACAGGATACCCAAGACAAGAAATAAGCAATACCAAATGTTTGGGCCAATGTTATAAGTATAGAAAGTGTTCTCACCACTGAGGTCTTTTCTTTAAGTACTGCACCAAATTTCAATGGAGCCAAGCTAACAAAAATCTTAAGCCTTTCTGGAAATAAATAGAACTCTGTATGCCCTCCACCTAGAAAATAGAAATATCATTGCTTTGCTTTTTTAATAGACATTTTTAGCTTGCTTGGGCATAATAGTTTCCCATTTCAGACCACATGTCATTCCCTAAAGTATAGTTTCTTTGTTTTGCAGTTGTGCAYGAGAAGACACATGAATATAGATACAACTCAAACAAAGAATCTTACTCTAAAAGGAATGATGTGGTAGATGGAATGGGAAAACATTATGGCCAAGGTTGGACTATAAATTTAAAATGTATAGCTACAAGCTTACCAGAATAGCTGTTTTGGTAGTTATCTGCTTTATATTTATTTTTCTAAAATATTAAGAAATAGGGAATAGTTTAAATTTTTTTCCAAATGCAGCTAAAACATAAAATATTATTATTTTGAAAAAATTCATGTAATAGTACAAATGAGAACTGGAATATAAAATTTAATCAACTCGTTTGGTGAACTAACCATTGTAGTTGGCATGATGAGAAATTGCTTGACTCCTCTCTTTTTAAAAATGTACTTCATATGGAAATAAGAAGATGGACCTGAAGAAGAAGCCACATTCAAAGGAGTAAAGGTATAATTACAACATATTATGTAACATGTCGTAAGCTACAACAAAGGCTCCCACCAGATAATTAGCGTGCACAGTTCATCAAGGAAGAATTCAAGGTGGTTTCATACCTGATATGATCTCATTTACATACTGAATCTCTTGTACAGTTGAGCATTCAGCAGACAACGCTCTAGCAAGACAAACATCTTTTAGTTTTTCCAGTAGTTTCTGAAATAATAACATAGCAACATAAATGTCAAAGCTGTTTATAAAAGTTACCCCTGAAAATATGAGCATCATGAAAAAGTGAAATGGGATAGAGTAGGAAGAATAGAGAAAGTGGATATAAAAGTAATTGGAAAGAGGGATTGAAAACACAGAAAATAAAAGAAAAACGAGAGTTAAGTTCTTAGAATAGGGAGTAGGTAGACAAGGAGTATGTGAATGGTGGTGGTNGGGGGGGGGGGAGAGAAGGGGTTATAGGAACAGATTAGTGGGTTAAAAAGTTCAGAGAACAGCATGGGAGAATAGAAAGTGAAGACCAGCAGGAGGAAGGGAAAACAGTTTGTGTTGGGGATAGAAAGTTGGACTAAGGAAGTGGGAGAGTTAGAGGGGTAAACAATGGGTGGACAGAGGGGGGTAAGGGTTCCCTACTGTTGACATAACAAAAAGAAAGCAAGAGACACCATTTTATTCATTTACCAAAAGATGAACATCACTAAACCACTTAAACTGCTGTGATCTTTTGCTACACTGAACATCCGGACACACACAGATTTCAACCGAAACAACAATCTTTTTTGAAACCTAAAAATATAATGAAAGAAAAATCTTATCAGAATGAAAACTAACACCCTGTTCCTGTGTTTTATCAAACAAGGAAGATGACTCAAGCTTATAATCCCTGTAAATGTTTTCTTAAGTTAATTTTTGACAAGTAAAATGCTCATCTTCTTGAGATAGCACTTCCACTAGACTTCCTTTCTGCTTAATGTACACGTATGTGGTGTCATAATCCATGTATATCCAACGCTCCAGTACCTTACTATACTTTCAAAATCAAAACTGTTCTTTTCAATGCACATACATCTGCCCTTAATTTATTTTTAACTCCAAGGAAGTGTTTACGTTCCAGGATTTTTTGGATAAAATTTAAGCTGTTAATACCACCCGCAACTTCAAGTAAACATCCCTCAATTTACCTCAAAGTAGAAGTTCTTTTTCCTGTTTTCAAAAGGCATTGTACCAATGCAACATCCTTAAAAGAATAGATTACGTTGGAGTTCTACTGATGTCAAGGAAAGACAGGAAAAACGACAACCGGTTCTTCACCTCAGCGCGCTGCCATTTTGTTTACCAACTGATGTGTGCTCAGGGGAGAGGGGTAAATCACAATCATGCTCTGCAAAAAGTAAACCCTCAAATTAGCTTGATTTGGTCACAATTATTTCTTTAAAGAATTAAGAGTTTTGGTAGATCTTACATTGCTTCAAAAAACGATAATTTTTATGGCTCAATGCAAATGTAGGGATATTATTTTTATCGAAAGTTTTACTCCTCCCCTGGTGAGGGACGTCTTTGGTTTTCATGTATCAAGAGTGAAGGTTGGGTCGAGTAAAGTTCATATTTTAAAAATGGCGCCGGAAGAGTTTCGCGTCTCCGCGAACGGGAAACACTCATGAATATTATTCATAGTTTGTGTTTCTAAGCACTCATTGTACGCTGAACCTTCACCTAGACGTATAGATGAATGCGTTAAGAGATTCGTCTTTCAAMATTTCAATAACAACACACTAAAAATGACCAAAAATTACGACCATCTCTTTAAAATTATCCTAATCGGAGACTCTGGAGTTGGGAAGACTTGTATTCTCTGCCGCTTTGCTAACGACGAATTTAACAAGTCCCATATCTCAACGATAGGTAAGCTGTCTTCAAGAAGGACAACAATATTGTTTTGAAACTTTTGGTGTTTTTTCTTTAGTTTTTAAGCATATTTTGAAAAGTCGTTATGCGTCGTCTTTTTTGCGTGTCGAGCACTCATCTTGTTTCTTGTTCAATTTTCGACCAAAGGTATCGATTTTAAGATGAAAACTTTACTCGTCGATGGCAAACGGATAAGAATACAGATGTGGTAAGTTATTTTGTAAAACTTCGAGATAATCCTTATTGAAAATCTATGTTTATTTTCGATTAGAGCACTGATAACCTAGCAAAATCATTCAACTAAAAGATTTTTTTCTTCGACGCGCGGTAATTTAATCCTTTGAGAAAACCAAAAAGCTAATCTAAAATTTCCCTATTGCCMAATGGCAGGAAAGATATAACTCATTTTATACTCCTAAGTAGGACAATCAAGCTGGTGGTTGATTGATAACACTTAAAAACAGCTTTAAGAAATTACTTATTCCTTGAAATTTTTTCGGGTTCAAAATGCAACTTGCCCAAGGCAAAACTTTGCTAAACCCAACTTTATTATTTCAAATTTGTAGACGAAACTCTTTCAGCCTTTATTATTTTCTATAACCATCGTATTTATATAAAAGTTATATTGGTGTATTTGAAGAAAAAGTATAAATAAGCTGATAACTTACATCGTAAATCATAGAAATTTTTTTATAGAACGTAAATATTAAGCTTAAAAATAAAATTGCATAAAAGACGCATTAGGACTTTGCCCCTAGGGGGGAAAAAGATTTATAGAGAGAAAAAATTTTGGGAGGGTATTTCGCTGTACATGATTTAAATTGCATTAGAAAATTCTAGTAAGATAATTGTTTTGCGTATGAAGTCATGTAGTGGGTATATTAATAGTGGTTATGTGTAATGTTCCATGAYGATTGACATCACAAATACTATACAACCACCAGTTAACCATCAAAAATGTGCATGAATTAATATGCATTAGAATCATAAGTATGTATTCTATTTTCATTAGGCATTCTGGCCTTGCCRTTCATTCCTGTCAGTCATCCCAAACTCTACACAACTAAAATATCATAAAACAGCACTACACAGCTGTTTGAACAGAATGTCAATATTATGCATATTCAAACAATGATTGCTTTGCTTCCTGCCGTTAATATTCCACCCTTTTAATAGTTTAAACATTGGTCATGTGGATTAGTGAAGTGGTTCACCAACTTGAGTATTGTTTTGTTTGTATCACTAGTACTCATGATATAGCGCAACAAGCGTACACAACTTTATTTTATTCTGTCAGCATAAATTTTAGGGGATTCTAAAGCAATGTAAATTTTTTGGAATATTTTTAGTAGACATTCCCAAAAGCACCATGAATATGAGATTTTTAAATCTTTATTTGAATCTAATATAGGGATAATGCATGCTTTAAAATTTATGTTTAATGCTTAATAATATTGTTAATCATAAAAGAAAAAAATACTATTTAACCTCCCTTACTGTCTAATAATACTCGTAGTGTTTAAATAAATAATTTTCCAAGAGAATAGAACTAGACCTCAAGTCTTGGCACAATGTTTTCCCATTTCAGACAATGTGTCATTCCCTAGAGTATCAATAATTGTTTGTTTAAAGCCTGCTCACGAGAAGACACATGAATATGGATACAATTTAAACAAAAAAAATTTATTTTCAAGAAAATGTCACAAAGTCTGAAATAAAAAAAATAGGCCCATTGGGAAAGCATTTTAAGATTGTAATGAAAAACAGTGTGTGAGTAAGGCAGTTAACCATTTCAGTAATATATTTATTCAAACAAGACTCATTGTGCTATCTTACTTTTGACCCCTACTTCCTTCACAACTGTCTGATTTACTCCGCATGTCTTAAAACCTTGTTTTTAGAATACTCCCAGGAAGGGAATACTATCTGTGGTATCCAGTATTTAAACTTTAGGTTTAATCRGTTCTACTCATAATATACTTGTATAAATTAACACTATTTTTACATTATTGCATGTATGTTCTAGATTTTTTWAAATTTGTCACTCACTTTCTTCATATCTAATATCATTGATGACATATCATAATTATAATATCTGTCAAAATGCTTTATTTTTAGTTGTTCAWTTGACTTGTTAACCTAGATGGTTCTATATAGTGTGAAGGGTCAATGTAGGTGTGGAAAATCTCCATGTTATTTATCCTTTTATAGCCTTCAAGTTAGCACTTATAGACCTTGTTACCTATCAGCATTTGGGCTAGACTCACGATCAATTATTATATCTTGGCCTTGTCTGTGAATTTGGATTGGTATTCATTATAATGAGGTGGAGTTGGGAGGGAGCATTGACGTTAGATATTTCAAGGTATTCCTGGTTTGTTTAGGGATACTGCTGGACAGGAAAGATATGAAACAATCACCACACAGTACTACAGAAGGGCACAGGTAATACTTTTCATTTACCGATCCATCTATTCATCAATCCATCCATGCATTCTTTCATCCATTCACTTGCTAGTGCCTCCTTGCATACATCCATCCATTTTTATTCATCTATCTACCCATTCAGCCAATTCAGCCCATCCATCCATTCATTTATTTATCCCTCCATCCATCCATCCATTCAGCCATCCATTCATTCAGCCATCCATTCATTCAGCCATCCATTCATTCAGCCATCCATTCATTCATTCAGCCATCCCTTCATTCATATATCCCTCCATCCATCAATGCATTCATTTATTCAGCCACACATCCATTAAGCCATCCATTCATTTGAGCCATCCATTCATTCATATATCCCTCCATCCATYTATGCATTCATTTATTCTGCCATCCATTCATCCATCCAGCCATCCATTCATCCATCCATCCATCCATTCCCCTACACATATGCATAAATATCGTGGGCTCATAATAAACGACTCTTTCTTTTCTTTCCTAGGGGATCATTTTAGTATATGATATTACAAGATTAGATACTTTCCATAATATTAAAAAATGGTTGCGATATGTTGACGAGGTAAGTGTGTATATTTAATTTCTTTTACTTTTCCACTTCTTTTCCCTTTCCATCCCATTTAATTTCAAAAAGCAGTATTGCTGACGTTTTTGTAATTGTTTTTAATATAAGCATAATCTTTCTTTCTTTCAGCATGCCAATAATAATGTACAGGTATTATTACTGGGTAATAAATGTGATGTGGAAAATCAAAGAATAGTATCAAAAGAAGTCGCTGTTAAGGTAATAATGCTTCATTCATTCATCCTATGCATTCCTTCATCCCTCCATTTATTTATTCATTCATTTTTTTCATTTTATTTGTTACTGAAAAATGTCTTTGATTAATATTGTGTATTTGATTAATATTTTAGTTAGCAACAGAAAGAAATATACAGTTTTATGAAACTAGTGCCTATACAAACACAAATATAGACGAAGTAAGTATTTATATTGTAGGATAGCTGAATATYTGAATGAAAACACTTTCTGTGCAATCCCTTTTTGCCTAGTGTAGAGTGCAAGCTATGTTACATCTGTGAAACAGCACAAAGACTAAACAGCACTAAACATCTATTTTTTTGTTTTGATTGTTTCATTGGTGCTATTTTGTACTAATTAGTTTGTACTATTTCATGGAGATATGGTTTGCATTAGGGGGTACTATAACCTGCTTGTCAAGTCTTTTGTAAACAGAGCCTTAATGGTTTTACATTTCATAGTCTCCGATCTAAACACACGATCTAATCAGACTGGGAAAACAAGAGAACTTGAAGAAACCATGACATAGGGGTCAAGTGGTTTTAAGGCTTTACATGAGAGTATCTAAAATGTAATTTTTAACCCTTTCATACCTCTTCTATAAAATAATAAGCACAMAAATGAATAAAATACTGTTTTATTTTACCTATGAAAGTTGAAATTCAGAGTGTGCGCACCAAAAAAAAAGAGTTTTTGATACTTTCATCTAAAATGTCATATTGACCAATCAGAGCATGTGTTAGAACTYATAACTTTACTTTCTAATTGTTGATATTTAACCATAAGTGATGGATCTTGATTTCCGTTTTTAAAGGCATTCAGAGATATATGCAAGAAGATACTTAATGACATAGAAGTCAATCAGGTAAATGTTGATATGCTTTTACATTCTAAAACAGCTACTATTATGGTACAAACATAGAAGTAGGATTGAATAACCAAGGATCTAAGGCTGCGTTCATAATGAATGGCAGAGGGGGGGTGCAGGTGAAATTAAGGGGGGATCAGGAAAATTTTGGTAGGAAAAAGGAGGGGATGAGCAAATTGTATTTAAAAAATAGGGGGGATGCACAATTTTTGGAAGAAGCTACAAGCCTTGCTTAGGGGGGGATCATATTTTTTTGCATGACTTTGAGGGGGAGTCTTAAGAATTATTCTGGACATTTCAAATTTTCACCTGCCCACCTCCCCCCCCTACCCCAGCCATACATTATGAACGCAGCCTAAACATCAAGTTTAATGTATCATTATTTTCTTTTTTTTTCTAGAATGGCAGTCCTCTCAGAGGAGGGCCAGATATACGATCGAGTGCAATTTTTCTCGACACCAAAAAAGAAGTTCTAAAGGAGAATCAATGTTGTYCTGTCACATGACTCACTGTCATATAAGTACTATATAATACATATGTTATTAATATTATTAACAATAACCATTAACAGATTGGTCATTAATATTTAAGAGTACATATGTCCCTAGATCCGGCCCCTCCCCTTCCAACACTAACAACAATATGGRCCTTGTCACATGGTGCCATTAGAATAAAAATATTTGCTTAAGCAGGCATAGCCCCATCCTAAAACTTGAACATGAGGCCAAATGGGGAAAATCTACATGTATTGCCCCAGTGGGCTGCACAGTGATATTTTTCATTTAAAAAATCCATTGACTGGAATTTCAGGCAACTGTCTTATGACACCATCTTCCTTTTCCGTAACAAAATATTTTTTCATTGCTATCTTGTTACATCAACCAACATAGCAGCCAATTCAATGTTTTTTTATTTTCATTTTTTTATTTTTTGAATGGTATATGTGGCCAACCTAAGTCAGCCCCACAGAAGGGTAATTATAATAGTACAMACCCTCCCCCCAAGGGGTACCACACCCATCACCCATGTCTCACCTCATACATAATCAATGACCTAAGTCCTTAAGTACTTAATAAGATGTCAAGAAATTTTAAAATTGCAYGAATATCAAGAAAATTATAAGAAATAATTTATTATGAGTCTAAAATGTAAAAAATTGTTCTCAACTTAATGAACCTCGATGCCATTGCAGAAAGTATGCAAAAATGTTTCATACTCTCATACAAGGCAACTGAACTCATTACTCTAGAACAAAGATGAGTTACATATCAATACTGAGTTAAAATAAGGCATTTATTTGTTAGAAGGGGAATGTCAAAACTGCAGGTCCAATATCAGACTATATATATATATATATATGTAGTGCATACATACACTGAATTGCAGAAATGTTGTAGTATACATTTATACAAATATCTAATGAGATGCATAATGCAAAATAACCTTTTTCAGTGCTTAAAAACAACTGATTAATAAACTGTACGATCTAATAGACAAAAAAAAATATTTTGATAGTCATTGAATGAAACAAACAATAAATAAAGCGATTTTTCATATTTTGCATATCATTAAATATACTGAATAAATTAGATGTATGTATAATAATGTATACTACAACCTTTCTGCAATCGAGTGTATATGCTCCYTTCCTATAATATTTATAATATTTTACCAAAACCTATTTTTTACCAAAAACTTTTGTATGTCCTTTACTCATTTTCTAACCCCTAAAAAAGTCTTCACAACAGTACAGTCTTGACAATCCTCATCTGTTTTAATAAATGAAAGCCACCCTTTACTCTGAATAGAAGCAATGCTTAGAAATGAAAACTGAGCTCTGAGTGCTTATTTTGTACATTATAGTAAACAAGAGTGTGAACTTCAGGGTTGAAACCAGTGAAATAGTTGGAAAACACAATGCTGAACAATCAGAATAATTTTTCATTTCTTTCATAGCTCTTGAGTATTTTTTTTATTTTGCAAATAGAGTGAAGTCGTTAAACCCATGAAATAGATATTAGACTAATACACATTAGTAGACCTGAACTCCACTGTTTCCTTTTGTATCTATTTGACTATTACATGTTGACTAGTAATTTTTATTTCACAAGTTTAATGCCTTCACTCTAGTTAATAGCGTTTTTATAAATATTTGTTATGAATAAACACAGTAATATATTCAAACGTACTTCTAAATAATATGTTGTCTAATTGTTTGAAGCAACTAGTCCAGTCAAATATCCATACCTATAAAAGAAATGGAAAGGGGTTSAGAGGGACAGAACGAAATATATTTAGAACTTTGTGAAAAATTACGAAGGAAGGCATACAGGATTAATACCCAATTTAGGATTTGACAACCACAAACTAGCTACATGTTGGTTTTATCATTTAAAAAAAGCCTAAAAGACATTTTAAAACAAATTTTGTTGTGAACACTACATAAAAAACACTTTGACTACTTTACTGTAACACCTGGGATAAGAAAATATAAACTGCTAAAGCTGCAAGGAGCATTTGAAGAAATTTGACCCAGTCTATTCAGCAAAAATTTTTATTGTCCGTAATCTGTAGTGTTGCTTGAATAAGGTAATACCTCTCCATGAAGGAGGTATGGATATTTTATAGGACCATTCATTACCATTAGTATCAGAAAACATACTGCCCACAAGATGAAACGATCTTGCTTTGCAAAGAGAAATAAAACATATTTACTTTTTAAAATGACTTGCTGTTTTTGGCCTAAACTTTGATAAAACCACACATACTGTTGTAGTAAAATGTTATTGCCTGAAAATTTGTATCTTAAATTTATAAGTCAGAGCTTTTGAATATATGGAGGTATCCACATACTAATACACTGGAAGGAATTGACAAATACTATTCATCTACTCCTTTTTTCCTTCAAAAATTCCAGAAAAGAAGTTTCTTTATCTAGAGTGTGTGAACCACGTGACTCGAAATCCCTTGAGAGATATTAATAACAATGAAACAGCCACCATCTTGGTGGATCTAACAAGAGAAGCTGATGAAAAATGCTTTGTTATCATCAACCAAGATGGTGGCAATGATGAAATATGCACATACTCTATAGACCTCTTGCATTGATTTCCTAGAGGAATTGTTCTGGGAGACAAAAAATAGACTGCCTTTTTTTATACAAAAAAAATCCATTGTTTTGTCCCGCAGAAAATTCCTTTAGGGACTCAGTGCAAGGGGTCTATACTTGTTAAATAAATATAAGGACATATACTTTTATATATACAAGTCTATAAATGAGTAATCCTTCCATATTCTATTTGGGAATCCATGTCATCAGAAACGTCTTCATATACTCCAGCATGCCTCATTTGTGAGTTATGTATCTGGTTTATGGAGTATTGGTGCTCTGGCTCAAACATACCCATTACCCCAGGCAAATGGGTGTGTATTTCATGGTTAATGTAAGGGGTTTGTAGGTTTCTTGTGTTATCTATCCATTTACGTAGCTGTGTGCCAGATATGAAAGCCACCAAAAACCACAAAACAATAGAGCTATAGGATGAAATCTGAAAATAGAAAATATCTCAGTCTCTCAATCTGTAGACAAAACAGTCCGAATGTTGGTAATTTGTGATTCTAGAAAATATTCATCCCTAACCACCCTGGGAGGGGCAAATAGAATGCCACAGGGTGGGGACGTTATAAAATTATATTCTGTTGCTTCCTTTCTCCCTCAGTATGCTCAATATTAGGTATTCAGGTATAAGATCATATATGGATATAGCTATACACCAGCCTGCATATTGTGTGCATCTATGTACAAACACCAAACATCRAAACATGTTTTAGTTCTAACTGGCTCCTATCTTTTATGTTTGTTGGTTAAAGGTGATATTATTTGAAATCAACAAACCTTGACATTTTAGCTGACAAACATGTGAGTATTAGAGGCCAATTAAAACATGTTTTGATGTCTGGTGTTTGCACCAAGATGCAATCAACAGTATCGATCTAAATAGCATAGGGTGTCCATTGCCACTTAACTGCAACTTTGCAAGTTAAATACATGCAGCCTAAGGTTGGAGTCACATTAAACCATAATGCACTTTCAAATTCAGATGTGATAGCGAAATCTCACCTCCACCATGGTTAAATAAACATAAAAGTTGCTTGCATCTAAAGGTTGTGGTTTGAAGGAGCTCCATTCCCACTTCTTTGCTGCTTCACAACTATGACAAAGGAAAGAGATCTAAATTGCTGAGGTGAATTCTATGAGGTTCACAGCATGACACTGAACCCTCTTGCTAAGAGAACATACATTTTATAGGGTGGGGGGAAGCTATAGGAATTTTACCTTGTTTTGAAAATAGAGTGCACGCACTAAAACCGTGAACATTAAATAGTACTAATATTAGTAATATTTCATACAGAATTCTTTGTTTTCTATTGTTTATTTATCACTATTTAGTACTAAAAATTAGTATTTGTTTCATGGATTTAGTGTAAGCACACTAATATTTTTGGAAATATATCATTGGAGCACCCTCTCTCCCCCAATAAAATAAAAGATGTTTTAAGCGACCCCCCCCCCCCCTAGAAAAAAAAATTACAGATTAAAATGCTTTCTATGCCCCAAAAATAATATTGTTACTGGAGAAAATGGCTGCCCCTTCAAATCCCCATAGCCCTCCCCACCCCATGAATGCTCCCCAAAAAAGCTAGTTGATCTAGATAAAGCAATCGTATAGCAGTACCTGGAACCTGATGCAAGCCCTTTTTGAATTGATTTACACCATTCTACAAATCCTGAAACCATGAAAACAGCGCAAACAACAGAGTTGATCCATCCGAGAGTTGCAAACACAAGAGAAGTAAGGTAACCATACAACATGCTGTAAAAAAATATACCCAAAATGGAATATATTATAATTTCTGTCAAGGAATTATTTAGGTTCAATGAATGATGTTTTCAATGATTTATAATGGCATCACATTAGCAATAAAAAATTAATGCAGCCTCAACTTATGTTAAAAATTTCCAAGGAATTCAAGCTTGTCATTTAAAAAATTTTTTTTTTTTTCAAATTTACTATTTTAGCTAATCTTCATGCATAAGAAAGGTGTGGAAAATGTTTTTTTACAGCAGTAAGAATTCAGCATTTAAGTAATTCTTGGATTTATAACAAATAGAATAAGATTACTTGATTGACATCTGGTAATAACTTGTAATCCAATTGTGTAAAGGTCAATCAAAAGTGACAAGCTCAAGTTTGAATAAAATTTTGTGTAGTTGGTATTCGTAAATTTCTCAAAATATTTCTTTGGGACTTTATCTAAATGTATCTTTATTAATTAATATTCTTTTTTCCTGGTTCCAATAATATTATTAAAATCTTTGACGAGGAAACAAAATATGTTTCGGGCACCTCTGGAATCCATTCATGTTGTCAATAGTAACAAGAAGTCACGAAGTCCAATGCAAACCAATCTTACCTGGGTTTTTCAGTATTCACGAGACAACACCAGCGAAAACAAATCAAAAAAGCAGCTAAGACGATAGTAGTGATTGAAGAGTAAAAACCAAGATTACAGTAGATGATATTTCCTCCGGTTACATTTTTCTGTAGAACGTCTACAGTCGCAAACAAAAGACATGTGTTACCGGTTTCAGCGTTCAAGAGTCCAAGAGGAACGGTTGTAAAAAAACCTGCAATCATAGCTAAAAGGCACAGAAAGCTTTCAGTCGTCTTTCCAAAGGACATCGTAGTGCTTTCGATGGCGAGAGAGAAAGAAATCCACAATTATCAAAGAATTTTGACAMATATTCAATGAATGGTAAGGATAGCTGTTGTTTGTTTACATCCGACGCTTTGACGAATATGCTACGAAATGATAACGACAGGTTCCGGTCGGTTCCGATTTTTTTTTTAAAGCGAATGCCTGCGCGACCTCTCCTTGAGCTCCAACAGTGACAGCGAACATGGCGGAGGAAGGAGATGTRGAAACTGTGACAGGAGAATCCATGGAATATCAGAGCCATCCGAAAGGTACGTCTGATATAACTTACCTAACAAAGACTATGGATGTTTTTCTTACRGAAGCAAAATTTATTTATAAAAAAATCGCTGTTATTCAGTACTAAATCCTCTGCAGAAGCAGGCCATCCTGCAAGATGAAATAACTCGTGCAGCTGCCAATTAAATCGTAAAGYAAAAGAGTAAACTTAAAATACTAACAATGTTTATTTTCCTTCCTGATTTAATATAAACTAGAAGTCTTTMCCGAGAGCGCTATAAATGGAACGTCCACAGAACACGAGGTCGAACCCGCGGAGGGTGAAACAAAATCCGAATTGGACGAAGTACAAGAAGTCGTCAACGAACAAGAACAACAGTACTGGAAAACTGTATTAGAAAACCCAGGAGACTTCACTAGCTGGACATATCTGCTTCAGTTTGTAGAGCAAGAGGTATGTGTTACTAAAAATCTTGTAAAAAATGGACTTGAACAAGATTAATTATCCGCGAAATTAATCGTTTCCTTTGTGATTAGAAAACATGTCTTATAATAATTTAATTCTTACTCAGGATTTAGATTAACTGCGAGAGGATCCATCCCTAGAAACTGGTTGGCAGGTTTAAAACACCTGAATAACAGAATATTTATTGGTGATTGTAAGACTTTCTTATCAATTCCAGTGAATTCCAGCTTAGTTGACAAGGCAGAAGTTGATGGGGATTTCTTTCTTTTCAGAATAAGCTCTTGTCAGCTAGAAAAGCATTTGACTCGTTCTTCAAAAGATATCCATATTGTTATGGGTACTGGAAGAAGTATGCTGATATGGAACGAAAGAACGGAAACCTTGATAGAGCAAAAGAGGTATTGTATGATTTAGCTGGTCATATGTTCATCTTCGAAAAATTGCAGCATCTTGACCTACCGCCACTCATGTCCTGTGATAAAATTGCCAGTGTAATGCACCTATCATTGTTAAGCCCAAGGGTGGCAAGCTACCCCAGGTAAATTGGAAATTTTAAAATTCCCCACMCCCTGATAACTGATGAATGTCAAATTTTCCAAGATGATAAAATTTCGTATTGTGGGAGCATTGATAGTGTCAATTTTCAGAGGGTAGCCCCACCCTGGGACTAACATTGATAGGTGCAGAATTATGAAGAGCTGACGCAATAAGATATAAAAGTTAGGAGGCAACTTTGCTAGGGACCATCATTTCAATGGTGGTACTCTCGTTCCCTGTTGCCGAAAGTAAGGCATTTTCTTCTCTGAACTGTCCATAGATCATCAATGAAATGGGTACAAGAAGAACTGCAATATTTTAAAAGAGATATTAGAAAATATAATAATATAAAATAGGATTTAGCAAAGTGGCTCTTCATCGACTGACTTCCAATTGGAATTTAGAAGTTGATATTTGTGGAGGAAGGAAAACTGTCAAAGTACAGGAAAGAACAAGCAACTCCACTCCAATACAACACCAACCCTGGCAGTACACGAACCTAGATTACATTGGTGAGAGGCAAGCACCATCATCGCTATGCTACCCATTCTTCCCCTAATATAAGTATAAGTAATATTTTATCACCAGAAGAAAGTCTGCAGTCTTAAACTGTTTTTCTTTTTTCAATTTATCTCATTTCAGGTATTTGAGCAAGGCATCAGTGCTATTACTTACAGCGTGGATTTATGGGTTCACTACTTAAATTTTTCATCACAAATCACAAAGGGTCAAGCAGATGGTCCTCAGATAATGCGCAGGTAATTCTCTTGGTCTCCAGTACAATCAACTCTACACTTAGCCCTCAGTGAGACAATCTTGCACAAAGCATATTTGGAAAATGATACTGCAAACAGAAGATGCATAGGAGATAATCTTGCTGACAAGTTGGTGTCCACTTTTCAATCTGAATTTTGAGATTTTTTTCGCTTTCTAGCTTATTTTTTTGTAAAAGTATTTGYTTTAACAAGACTTGTTTATAGGCATCAGCCAAATCTAACATCGTTTGCTGCATTCATACTGTATGGTTGCTAGGCTCATAAAGGCCAAGGTATTTTGAGGATCATATTATGTCCTAGAATATTTATTAAGATTAGTATCTCAAATAGCTCTTAATTGCAAGATTTCCTAACACATCAGTGTCAAGACTCTAGCATGTGTTGTTTTATTTTCCAGTTTGTTTGAAAGAGCTATTTCAACTGCTGGGAATGACTATCGTTCTGACAAGTTGTGGGATGYGTTCTTGGAATGGGAAAAAAGCCAAGGACAGCTAAAGAAAGTCACAGATATTTACGACAAACTCCTGACAGTCCCAACGCAGAAATACACCCAACATTTCCAAAAGTAAGATAGTACTCAAACCTAAATAATACTTAATTTTTCCTTTACTTTGTCAAGTTCCAAATACATATCGAAAATTTCTGATTTTATCAAGCAGTTTTCTATGTTGTCATTTGTATTATACTCCTTCAAATTTTATTGATACTGTAAAACAACCTCTGGGCTGATGAAAGTCATTATTTGATTACTGTTTTTTAGGTTCAAGGATCACATCAATTCCAATCCTGTAGCTGCAGTTTTGTCAACAGAAGAGTTACTTAAATTAAGATCAGAGGTTGCGGCATCTCCACCTGGTGTTTCAACTACTGAAGCTTCTCCCCAAGTTATCGAAGCAGGTAAAACCCCCCTYGACTGGAAAATTCTTTCTTTTCTAATCTTTCATAATTTCAGGAAAACTATTCAGAATTTTTTTAATTAATTTGATATAGTTACTCAAGTCTTAATATTTATCCAGGCTCAAAAAAGAAAGCCAGTGATGACAAAGATAAAAAAGATGATGATGATGATGATGAAGTGGCTCCGGGGACTGAAGATCTTATAGCCTCTGGAGAAGATGAAAGTCCCTTGATAATGTCAGAGGTAAAATGTGGGACCTAAACTGTGTTGTAGCAAGTAGATAGCAATTTAAAAGATAGTACTCTGATACCCTGATATCAAATGTAAAATGCTTTTTTTCTCATTGCTGAATTCCCATGTTTAATTTTTGACCTCCAAGTTACACATGAACAGAGTTTGTTGCATCTCTTGATTTAAGGGGTGTTTTCCTCCTTCCATGAAGATGTTAAATTATGTGGCCTGGCTTGTATCAGCATAGAGATTGTTTCAGGGTCCAGTAAAATCATTATTAGCATTAAATTAGTTCAAATTCTATTCAGCTCCATGTATTTATGTTTAATTTCTTTCATCCACTTAGAATGATCCTGAGACAGTTGCAATAAGAGAAAAAGTCATAGCGGCWAGAGCTGAAGCATATGCCAAGCTCGAAGATGAAATACGAAAAATCTGGGCCTACGAAGAAGGAATAAAGAGACCGTACTTCCACGTGAAACCTCTAGAAAGAGTCCAGCTTAAGAACTGGAAGGATTATCTAGACTTTGAAATTACCAACGGAAATCATGATYGTGTTGCCATACTCTTTGAGAGATGTGTTATTGCTTGTGCTTTGTATGAAGAATTTTGGCAAAAATACGCTGGATATGTTGAAGCACACAGTTTGGAGAAATGCCATGACGTTTACGAGAGGGCGTGTACGATACATTTGCCCAAAAAACCCAACATTCATTTGTCATGGGCAGCATTTGAAGAAGAACAAGGTAAGAGAAAGAACTGATCAATAATAATATAGATACAGACTTAAAAAGTTAAAAATCAAGAGGAATGTAGTGTCAAATTATGCACTCCATTCTAGGGTCTCTGGTTCAATTCCTGGACTCAGTATTACATCATTTAAATTAGGATTTTTCATTCCTCATTTCTTCTGGTTTGATTCGGGGTATCTTTATTAAGTTTTTAAGAGAARGTCATAAACTGCCGTAGGGTCCAAGTGAATATATTTTACTAAGCTATAAATGGCAGGTTAAGCCAGAGAATTTCGTTTACCAGAGAATTCTCTAATCCCCTTTCCCTTTGAGAAAACCCTGTTGATAATGATGTCATATTACATTGAACAGGAAACAACAATTTAGCTGCCAAAATTCTTGAAGATTTGGATGCTGGTGTTCCTGACCTTGCATTAGTCAAGCTTCGTAGAATAAACCTTGAACGACGAAGAGGGAACTTGGATAAAGTCTCAACAATTTATGAAGAGGCAATTGAGGGAACTGAAGATACATCTGTGAAGTCATTCTATGCTGTGAGATATGCCAGATTTTTGTCAAAAGTATGTGCCCTAGTGTTGATGCTTAAATTTCTGTTATTGGCAACTTTGCTAGTGAATTACCTGCTCAATGGTATTGCACTCGTTCCCTGTTGCCTACAGCACTTGCATCATCTACTTTTATTTTATTCAAAGTTTGATATAACTCTGAATTATAAGTTGTGTTTTGCTACACTTACTATTTATAAAGTTGTTCCAAAAAGTTATTAGTAAATTATATGTAATAAAACTTTTGAGTTTGTGCTTTTAGGTTGCTGGAAATGAAGAACAAGCCTATATTGTGCTCAAAGACTGTATTGAGAAAGACAAGGTAACAAGAGAGAATAATTGAATTAAAGAATTGTTGGCAACCTTGCTAGTGGATGACCTGTTCAGTGGTTTTGCGCTCGTTCCCTGTTGCCTACAACAACGGCTTCGTTTGCTTTATTTTTCCTCAAAGTTTTTATACTCTGAAGAAAAAAGTAGACCCTGCTATATCATCATCATTTTCTCCTTTATAATGATTTCAGCTAAGGTTCAGTAATAATATTAATACTTGTATTTGACTAAACCAGGATAATAAGCGGCTCTACCTCCAGTTGCTTGATCTTGCTTTGAACCAAAGACCTGTCAGTGAAGAAAGAGTAGAAGAGGTTTTTGACCTGATCAAAAACACCAACCTTGACACAGACATCAAGCAAGAATTTTCTCAGAGGAGACTAGAGTTCTTGGAAGACTTTAGTTCCAGTATTACTAAACTCATGAAGGCTAATGAAGCACACAGTAAGCTGTACAAGACCAAGTCTAGCAACCTAAATGGTATCACATCAGGCAAGAAGAGACCTTCTGAGAGCAGGTGTGTTTTTATTCATTATTGTAACTGTATTTTGGATTCTATTYATAAACGAGATTCTAGCCATACTCGTCCTTTAAATGAAAGCTTCAGAGGTACAAAACTTTGCTATGGATTATTGTGTAGGACAATTATTAAAAATATGAAGTTAAGATATTGAAGTSGATTCTATGTTTGTAATTTTTTTACAGCAGTGATAATAAAGCTAAAGCCTTGAAAGCTGACGACGGAGTTTCAGACACCACTCTTGCTTACCAAACCACAACTCCTTCAGTAACAGAAGCATATGACTCTACATACTCTACAGCATATAGTGCTGCAGCTGCTGCATATAGTTATGCTGCCACCCCTGTACATAACCAATGGGCTGCTGCTGGATATGCCGCTACACAGCCTGCCGCATATGCTGCTACACAGCCTGCTGCATATGCTGCCACACAGCCTGCCGCATATGCTGCCACACAACCTGTAAGTTACTAGAGTAGTATAATTTTGAGGATTTTTGTTGGTTTTTTTCCTCACGAAATTGTTGCTTTTCTATTTTCCAGGCAGCATACAACTACAGTCAGTGGTATTATGGCCAGCAAGTACCAACCACACCTTCAATGTAACATAATTGACCTTCAGTGTAGCATAATAAATTGAAAAACTAAGTGTTTGCAAAAATTTATCTATCATTAAAGTTATGTTGAGTTAATGATATTTTTTTGCTCTCATTTACTACTTAAAGTAGATCTTAATGCTCTGGTTCAGCCAAGGTTTATCTTTTTTTCCTGTCATTGAACATGTACATACAGTAGAGAATAGACTCCCTGTAAAGGTTTTGTTATAAACAAGACTTAAACAGATGCAGAACAATTGCTTGTAATGTAAGACAAATTACAAATAAAGTGCTGATAGTATTTGATGATGCAACTTCGTAGTACTTTCAGAAACCAGTAGAATATTAATTATTAGTCTTTCCAAGGTTATGTGGTAATCTGATGATGAGTAGGACACAGGTAGAATCTTGGCTGTTTTAGGGAACGTCATTTTCAAGATAGTTTGTTAACTTTCATTTCCTTGACATTTGGCATACAGTACATCCTACTTGCTACCAGTTTTCTGGACAACCTAAGAAAAGCCTGTATTAATTTTTCCAATGAAAATGAAGGTTATGAGAATACTCGTTTGCTCCGATGGAGGACTAGCATCCAAAACATCAGTAAGTTTTTTCATCTTTTCACGGTGTATATAATTTACCTTTTTATTAGAGTGCACGCACTAAAACCTTGAACATTAAATAGTACTAATTAGTACCTATTTCATACAGAATTCTTTGTTTTCTATTGTTAGTTAAAAAAATTAGTATTTGTTTCACGGATTTAGTGTGAGCACTATTACCGTTTCATTAGAAACACCGATGCAGCTCACAATAGTTTTTAGCTAGTAATCTCTTCTGGTTATGAGAATAATAGAGGTCATTCATTTCTGGGAYGTTTTAAATTAATCCCTTTTACTTTTCCCATATGCTCAATGCTATTAAAGACAGACTTTCAGCGTTCCAACAACATTTTATTTTATGCAACTTACATCACTTGAATAAATCACTATTTTCTTATAAGATATCCTCATCTTGGAATCCTCATCTAGGATTTACGAAGTTCTCAAAGTTTATTTGATGACCAGACCAAATTGTTTAGTGATAATATGCTATGTATAACATACTACTACAATCAAGATACAATATTTTCATTGTGATTACAAAGGTTTATCATAAGTTAGCCATAGCACCAGCATGCTATTGATAAAAATTGAACTTCAAGCATTCACAATGCCCCTATTTACCAGTAAAGCTCACAGTTTATTCACTACTTACTTTCCTTTGTTATTGCTTGAGGGGGAATACTCTGCCTATATAAGATGTCTTATTCACACATGCATGGGGTAACTAAGGAATTCTTACAAAATATTCCATATGGTTTTGACAATAGACCAGTTTCGAATTCCAAATTACCGCTGTGTTCCTTGATTACAGACTCATTTGCACAGGGTTAGCCTTGTATCAGTGTTTAAATATTCACAAATACCAACAGAAAAGTAAAGAATGCACAACTTCAACAATACAAACACTTTGAAAATTGACAGACTTCGACTGGAACACTGTGAATATTCTGCACAAACTCGAGACTAACCCTGTGCAAATGAGTCTGTAATTGAGAAACACAGTGGTAATTTGGAATTYGAAAGGGGTCTATTAACTGCCAGGTTATAAACACTGGTTTTGTTTATCAGATCAGCACACATGTAGCGCAAGCCCAATATTTTATCAAACTGCAACATTATCATAGAATTTTTCTGAAGAAGGAAATCATAATATAATTTCATATAATCAATGATGTAATTTTGCATTGGGTTGTCATCATTCACTGTTCACCATTCATCCCATTTCTATCAGACTCAGGTTTTTGGATCACATGCACATAGTATGCAGGGTTTTCTACTTCGCCAAGAGGCTTGAAATCACCATAAACAGTATGGGTGGCTTTGTCGGAGAACACTTCTTTTAGTAGATTTGAGAAGGGAGCAAGACGATGAGGACAGTAGGAGAGACGGAACTTGCTGTTGAAGTAAAAAAAAATTCAAATTATTTTAAGAATCAAAAATCTAATTCAGTCCCTATATTCCTATATGACGTTTGCATGATGGAGTCATTTGACTCCAACCACCATAATGCTTTGCGAATTTTCCTTATTTAAATTTGAATTCCCTCATGAGAATAGTAAGACAATAATTGGTTCTGAACAAAAGAAAGTGTGCAAGGGAGTCTGGTAGTAGTGGTCAATGATGCCATCCTGCGAATGTCCTATTGTATTTGAGTTAGATCAGGCCTAGAGGCTGTTTCAGGGTACGTTAGATCTGTTAGTTCCTGAGCCCAGGGTAGAGGTTGTTTAAGGGTTTGATCTGGGAGTCAGCCTAGAGGTTGCTTGAAGGTCTTGATAAGGATAAAAAATCTTTTACATGTATAAACAATATCCAGCATTCTCACCTCACTTCTTGAGGTTTGCTTTCTGATTTTTGCTTCTTTACATTTGGCTCACTGCCTTCCTCTGCAAAATCTCCATCAGCCTTTGAAGGGTCAACTGTGTAGTCCAGTGTGAGCATGGATGGCTTGCCATCAACCAACAGTAATGAAGTCTTGATGTCCTCAATACAGCCACTCTGAAAAAAAAACAAAATAAGTCATGAAAAGTATTAATTATTACAAATTCAAAGGCTTGCAAAATTGAGCACTTAGAAGTGATTTTAGTGATTTTGAAAGAAAATTTTTTTCCTTGATATACACTTTATGTGAATAGTGTAGTAGTATGGTTGCAGTATTTTCGTATGTGAAATTTTCTTTTAGGAGATATAAACATTTAAAATATCAATATGCAAATGAGATGACGTAAATTCAAGACTAATTAATATCATACAAAAATGCTGTTGTGGAAAGTACTGCTGTTTTTTCATTTGCAAATCATCCTTATAACTGAAATATATGGTTTTGTACGCTTTTAGGTTATTTCACTTCAGAACATTTGTCGTAAATTACACTGCAAAATGTAACCCATCCTTGAATTTACGTCATCTCATTTGCATATTGATATTTCAAATATTTATATCTTTAAAAAGAGACAACCACATACAAAAATACTGCAACCATACTTCTACACTGTTCACATATAAGTGATTTTGAAACTAAAATTTTTTCCTTGATATACACTTAAATATTTTCATAATATTCAACAAATTTCCATCCCTCAGTTTTATGTATACCATAGTCTGCTATATTTCCAAATCTGAGTGACTGGTCTTCTTTTACTGAGGAGGGGAGGGGGAGCAGCAGAATTTGAAGGATAACAATAAAAATCTGGCACATAAACATCAGAGTCGCACCGCACTTTTACAATAAAAACAAAGGAAAACAAGGGAGGGGTAAATTTTCTATGTAACTTAAGAGGGGGTCAGATTTCTGTTATGAGTTAGCAAGGGAATCTTCTCTCCACCCCCTCCTCCCTGGAACCTGAGCTTCCCCACTTTTAGGGAGTTCTTTGATCCTTGTACTTACATTATAGTAAAGATTTCTTTGAGGAGCCTTCCCAGTATCAATAATGGCATCATAATTGCGATGGTCAATAAAAAGCCAACCTCCAGGCCTCAACTGATCTTTAAAATTAGTAATAGCTGTGCGCTGGGTGCTCAAATCCCCAGAAGAATCTGGCAAATGAGCAAAGGAGTTTCCAAGGCAGATGATGGCATCAAAGCCATTGTCAGGAGTATCAAAGTCAGCATCACTCAAGGATAACCAGTTTCCTTCTTCAATAACTGAAAACATCAGGAAACCCAACATTAATAATAGATACAGTCAATGTCATTAACATTGTCCACCGAAAAATACATTTACACATTTAGACTAAAAGAAACGTGTTTCCTCGAAGGTTCTGGCATAATACAAATGCTGAAATACCATTCTCCATCTTAAATCCTCACTTAAATGGTCGGGGCATTCTGGATTTTCGATTCACGAATTGAATTTTACATTTAAAGTTCAGGCTCACTTTATATTTAGTCTATCTAAATGTCTAAATGTGTAAATGTCTTTTTTCGGTGGACAAAGTTAATGACATTGACTGTATATTCATAGCATTTTACTGGTAAGACACAGCCTAAATATTGCTGTGCTACACACCTTACCATGAACACTTCTACAAGTTTTTAATTTCTTTTTGACAAGTCTTAATCGTGCTCTTTACCGCTAACCATTGAGACATTGGCACTTCACTTTGATGTTTCAATAGGCAGAGTTTGTGCATTGATGTAATGATATCAAAACATCAATAATGTGAAGCACCAAAACATAATTGTTTAGCGGTAAAGAGTACGATTAAAACTTGTCAACAAGAAATAAAAAACTTGTGAAGTGTTCACGGTAGGGCACATAGCACAGTAAAAGCAACATTTCACATGGATGATTGCATGTGCCTCAGTGGACTTGGAGAATAATAGCTGGGCCGCTCTTAAAAGAAGCTACATATTCATCAGGTTATCATCAAAAATCTAAATTTATAAATCCCTTAAAAAATGTTGAAGACATTTTCAAAAGTGTAAAGTTTAGACCCTTAAGATAAAAGATATTCTTTCTACAATTTTATTATCTTAATCCTCATCAAGCCACCCTTTGAAAATCTTTCCAAGCTATCAATATACCCCAGTTATCAAAGGCTGGTTCTTTGCGGCGGCTCCAACGGATCCTCAAAGCATGTTTTAGCATCTTGTCACTGGCATCGACACTCGTCATTTCAAAACCATTTTCCAGCAACATGACTGAATCGACACTAGAAAGCAATTCAAAGAATTTTGTCAACAAAAATGAATTACAAATAWATAGCAATGTGTAGCTCCAATAATTATCCATACYCCCTACGGAGGAATTTTCTTTAAAACACCCCTACCCCCGAAAATTCMAATTTTCTTCYATACAAAYTCTGTAATTTTTGTTCTTTCTCTGACCCCCCTACTCTTCAGAAATTCCAAATTCCTCTGTGGGGTGGGTATGGATAATTTCTGAAACTACACAATCAAAAAACATTAACCCACAATTTATATTGACATAAAAATACGATTACATCAATGATTTTAAGTTATTTAATTTGTGATTAATTAATTCGTGTTTGACAGTGTTTAGCTTTGACACGGTGCAACTTTGCACACAATGTTGCTGATTGAAGTAGAATCATTTTCTACTTTGGGTGCAACAAATTTACTTGAGATTTTGAGCACAGGCTGGTTCTTCGAAATTGCATCAATGTCCAACTACTGTAAAATATCCATACCCATTTCATAAACGATCCATAAGAAATCATTAGTGTGGAAAATCAGAACCACCATCTTTACATGGTCATCCGAACCATATGAAGGACGTCTAGCCATTCATAGATGTTATTACAAACGCAGCACCTCAGTAATTTCAAGACCCTAAGTGTTTAAATTGGTCTTGCTGGAAATCTAACCACAATATATATAACCTCCTGCACAAATTAAGTCTGATGCTCAGCCAACTGAGCCAATGGTTTGTGCTGTTTGATACCTGGAACATTGTCTGCAACATTACACCGTGCGTCAGTAGTTTTTACCATTACATTTAGGAAGACATCACATTCATACAACATTTTGGTACATATCATTAAAAACCAGTTCCACTCCCTTTTAGTACTTAGAAAGTACTTAATAAGTCCATGTGAAGACCCAAACAGGGTATGGTATGGTTTTCAGCGATTCTAATCTGGAACAGGGTATACACTTATTTTAATAAAGTTAGTCACCTAAAAAGCCAAGGCCGACAAGGATTATRGGTAGATTCATTTTACACTTTCAACCGCTTGATAACTGTTCATGGACTTGCGAATCTTTTAACAGAGTTACAGTCTCACCTCTTCTGAGCATCATCGAGCTGCAATTTGTATTAAAAAAGCTTTGTATACATATGCTTTTTTTGATATGAAAAGTTTCCCATGATGCTCAGTGATCTCAGCTTTCTAGGTTTTTTGTGACTAACTTTATTGAAATAAGTGTATAAAAAGTCATGCTCCCTCTGGGACAGAGTATATGAAATCAGTTTCTCTCCTCTCTGGAACAGGGTATCTATTTTTGCAATACTGGAACAGGGTATGTTTTTCAGCAACCTTGCTCTGGAACAGGGTGTGAATTTCAGCAATTTTACTCTGGAACAGGGTCAGGGTTCAGTGGGCTCAGCGACACATCCCTACCCTAAACTGGTAAAAGTACCCCCCCATGGTAATAGTGTACTGATGCTTGCATGCTTGGATGTGACCAAGTCTTGGATCAAAAGTTTACATGTACCTTTGTAGGGTAGAATGCTCTATAGCTGCATGAGCAAACACTGATCAAATCTTCCTTTTTTATCAAGTCTTATGTATATGTCCATGACTTGAAAGGAGAAGGAAATACAACCTTTAACTATGTTAAAACACAATCTTGTGTGAGAGGAATTCATCCATGAATGAGATCAATGTTTCATTATCAACACTTCCTGGTGAATAAAAAACAACATATATACATGTTGATATATAGAGCAAGGGTGAATTTAAAAACAAAGATGCTGAAAAGGAATGCAAACAAAGCATATATATTATGGCAACTTTCCATATCACTGAAGAGTCATTTTATGAGAAATGGCCAAACAAAACCCTTGAGTTCCTGCCTGATCGTGACTGACCTTGGATTTGAATGTTGTGGCTCTTTTCCATGACCCTAAATGCCCCTCTCACAACAACCCTCTTTTTATGGATTAACTTTTTTTCTTTTTATGCTTTCACTTCAAAATGATGTACTATCAATCCACAAAGCTTACTTATAAACTAAGCAATGATTAACAAGTCAATAAAGCTGAACTCAATTACTATTAGCATTTGAATAAATTACTTTCGTGTTTTACAGGTTTTGTTGTTGTCAGATAGCAAATTTTCACTAACAAACTAACAATRTAATTCCTTCAGCGACTTAGCAAGTAAAACTAGTCTAAACTAGACGCATATCTGCGTGAACTCGGGCTTCATTGCAGAAAATCGAAAGAATTCTTCGTAACACTGTCATCCTTCTGACGAAACCTTGAAAAATTTCGCTATTGCTCAATCCTTGAGGCGCATACTCAAGAACTTGAGCAGGCGCTTTGAACGCAACTGCGATTTGTGACAGAACGCAAATAAAGCCCAATAGCCCAATTTATACCTCGGGCATTTCTTTGAAAGCCCGAGTAAGAAAAAATGACACTTCTCGCTTCGACCTGTATCTTTCTTTATTCCTGAAATCCAGTAACAAAACCGCCACTAACAAGGTACAAACCGGATTTTTGGAAACAGCGCGCTCCTTCACGTTCCAAAAAATATGGTAGTTTACATATCCAAATGTATTAAATATTTTTGCTTAAAAAGATATCATTCTGTTTTAAATGTAAAAAATATATATAAATTCAAGAACAGTTGCGAATCAGTTAGCATGTTACTGGTTCTACATGTAATACTCGGAGTTCCACGTTGATCTGTTAAAGTGTGGGAGGTAATTCACTAAAGAAAAAATAACTACAACCTACCCAGTTCCACAAGCAACATCGAGGATTCGCTTGAGTTTGTGTTTGCGTAGAACTCCACAGAAAAACTCTTGGTACGCTTCTGTTCGCTGTTTGTGCCCGCCAATGTAATGCTGCCAAACTTTAGCCGCTTTTCCATCGGCGTACTGGTCGGGAAGACCAGTGGCAGGAACACCTAGAGAACGTGTACGGAATACACTATCATTCATTGTGAGTATTGAACAAGAAAGCCTCAGGTCTCAAGATCGAACAAGGATCGAACAAAGTAGAAATCTGCGATCAAACGCGGCAACCAGAATGATCGAGCAAGATTGAGACAAGAAATATACACGTGAGCTTTTATGCCCATATATAGAACCTGCCTTTTTTCATCCAATCCRGACTGTCACTCCAACGTGCGTGTCTCTCTTCTAAAAAAACTCGTTGTTTCCGGACAAACATGTTGTGTCTTATTATAAATRGTGTGCACACTCAACTGAAATTCTAGGAAATTCTTATTTTTACAGTAACTTCCAGGTTTTCTTGAAACTGGGCTTCCAGTGGATTTCTACAAGCACGTGAACAAGTCCAAAGTTCAAAGGACGAATAGTTCAATGTCCCGAGAGATTCAGTATCACGCAAAAGTATTATTACTTTTGTAATAGTTCAATGTTCAATATAGTTCAAGTTCAATATAGTTCAATGTCCCGAGAGATTCAGTATCACGCAAAAGNATTTATATTAGTGTTATATTATATTTATCTATATTGTTGCTGAAAAGCCTTGTAAAAAGGAGCCTCAATAAATGTATGTATGTATGTATGTATGTTTTTGCCGAAGTGATGACTGACAAACACGATACAACGCGCTACAAAGCAAGCCAAAACGATCATTACTTAAACATTTTAAATTATCATTTCTCAATACTTTTGAATAGAATTTCTTTGTTTATTTCTAATGGTACCCTCGACGTGTTACCCTCGACCCTCGACATGGTACCCTCGACCCTCGACGTGGTACCCTCGATCAAAAGGAAGACTCGGTCAAATCTGTTCAAAGGAGCATTTATCTTGTAAGCGCATTAAGGCTTGCGAAATGCGCATGAACTGTTAATTAAATTATATTAAATTGAATTAAATTAAAAACGTGCATGAGAATCAAACACATAAATACAATCTGTGGTGTTTATTAAATCCATCATGATGATGATGATGATGTAGCTTTCTAATATTATAAATGCAAAAGTATTATTACTTTTGTAATAGTTCAATGTTCAATATAGTTCAAGTTCAATATAGTTCAATGTCCCGAGAGATTCAGTATCACGCAAAAGTATTATTAGGCTGTGTCACAATGTATGGCAGGGGGGGGGGGGCAGTTGAAATTGAGGGGGGATCGGGAAAATTTTGGTAGGAAAAAGGGGGGATGGGCAAATTTTTATCTGAAAAATGGGGGGGATGCACAATTTTTTGAAGAAGCTACAAGCCTTGCTTAGGGGGATCGTATTTTTTTGCATGACTTTAAGGGGGGTGTTAAGGGACATTTCAAATTTTCACCTGTCCCCCTCCCCTCTGCCATACATTATGAACACGTGCACCACCTTATCTTTTATAGACCATTACATACCTAAACGTTGGTTACGTTMTATAAATAAAGACCTATTAGTAGTTTCTAGGTCCGGTACAGCCACATACGGAGATAAAGCTTTTACAATAGCTGCTCCTAAACTGTGGAACAAACTTCCRCAGCATATTAAAAATGCAGAATCTGTTACGTTTATAAGTAAAGGAGCATTTATCTTGTAAGCGCATTAAGGCTTGCGAAATGCGCATGAACTGTTAATTAAATTAAATTAAATTGAATTAAATTTAAAACGTGCATGAGAATCAAACACATAAATACAATCTGTGGTGTTTATTAAATCCATCATGATGATGATGATGATGTAGCTTTCTAATATTATAA